AATTATCCTTGTTTAATAGGACAAAGTTTATTATTGGTAACGGTGCTAGTACGCGATTCTCGGAGGATAGTTGGCTCGGAGAGACACCCTTAGCCATCCAATACCCGTCTTTGTATCGTATTGTTCAACGACGTGAGGTGTTTGTTTCCACAGTACTTCAATCTATCCCCCTTAATATTCAGTTCAGAAGGTTGCTAGTGGGAAATCGTTGGGAACAATGGCTCCTTGTATTAAGTAGACTGATGGAGGTTCAGCTTTCTCAACAACCCGATGAATTACGCTGGAAGCTTACTAGGTCTGGAGTATTTACAGTTAAATCAATGTATGTTGATGTTATCAATTCAAGCTCGATTCCTAGTTCCACACATGTTTGGGCTGTGAAAGTCCCTTTGAAAATCAAAGTGTTTATGTGGTTTGTCCATAAACAAGTTATTTTAACCAAGGACAACTTGACAAAGCGTAATTGGACAGGACCTACTAGGTGTAGTTTTTGTGATCGGGATGAGTCGATCAAACACCATTTTCTTGATTGCCCGCTAGCCAAAGTCTTATGGCGGACGGTCCATATTGCTTTTGATATTACTCCACCGAGTTCTATCAACACGTTATTTGGAACGTGGCTTAACGGGATAGAACCCCAGTTAGCGAGACATATTCACGTTGGAGTCCGTGCCTTGTTGTGGGCACTCTGGAATTGCAGAAATGATTTGGTTTTTAACAGGACAACACACATTCATTTTCTGTAGGTTATTTTCCGAGCCACGGCGTTGATCCATTCGTGGTCGCTACTCACTCCGACGGAGGCCAGGGAGCGTTTGGTTACTGGATCTATCCGCTGGGAGATGGTAGCTCGGGATATCTTCAACCGGTTTGGATGGTGGTCATGTAATAGGATAGGCAATTAGTTTACCTATCTCTCTTTTGCCAGCCGGTTGTGGCGTCCTTTATTTGGCTAGTTTGTCTTCTAGCCCTTTTGGCTCTGTGTGAGCTCTTTCTATTTTCATTTGGAGACTTTAAGACCTTGTTGGAACCTTTTTATTTGTTTAATAAGATGGCCGTATGCATCGTTCTGATGCAGAGGCCGGGGAGTCCCCTCTTTTCGAAAAAAACAAAGCTCCTTGATAATATGATGACAAATTATTCTCAATGGCACACCTAACGAGCTCCAACAGGTAAGAAGGTAAACTCTGTCGAAGAAGTTTCCACTTTGAGTGATAAAATTCTCATGTTGATCCTAATGATGTACCACTATCTACTTTGATTGAGCAAAATAATTATGCTATTGATGTGAATTTTATCACTAGAAATAATTTCAACAACAATGCTTATAGACGGAATTTCAATCCTAGACAGTATCTCGGTAATCCCTCTAATAATTATGGTAATTCATACAACAACAACAACAACAATAATAATAATAATAATAATAATAATAATAATAATAATAATATACCTATTGAACTTGAGAAGAACATTACAGAATTTATTAATTCTCAAAAGATTTTAATACCATGGTAGAAGAAAAGCTACATAAAGTTGATGATATGGCTAGAAACATGGATAGAATTGCTCATGTTTTGGAAACTCTTAAAAGTGAAATTATGCTACATAATATGGTGCTACTGAAACTCTAAAGTCTATTCAAGTCACCATGAATGAAAGTAGAGAAAGAATCGCTAGAATAGGAGCTAGGCGAGAATTCCTAGAAAAAGCGATTCCACCCGATTTTTATCATAATCATGATGAAGATATTAAAATGATTGGTGTGACACCTATTATAACATTTTTAGTAAAATAAAACTTTATGAAAAAGGGACCGGAGATGAGTCAAATTTAGTTAGAAGGCGTCCCAATTGTTAGATGGTGATGATCTTAATGATAAAAACATTAAAAGTGGGTTGGAAGAGGTCGAGACTTTAAATAGTGATGTACCATCTATGTTGGATTACAAGGACTTTAATTATAATAATTTATCTTTGATTGAATGTATTGCCTTGTTGCAATCCATGATGAACTCACCTAATGCTTACGAATAAAATAAAGCTTTCACTAAACATATTGTAGAAGCTATGATTAAAGCTCATGAAGAAAAGTTAGAATTGGAAGTTTTTATACCTAGAAAATTACATGATGAGTGCGAACCTACTATTAAAGTTAAGATAAAGATTATGGATGTAATGCTTTGTGTGATCTAGGTGCTAGCGTCTTTACTATAGCAAAATCTTTATGTGACGTGCTAGGTCTCAGCGATATGGATGAATGTTCCCTTAACTTGCATTTAGCAGATTCAACTATTAAAAAGCCATTGGGTAGAATTAATAATGTTCCCATACTTGTTAACAAAAATTATGTGCCAGTGGATTTTGCTGCGCTTAATATTGAATGTGATCCGTCTTGTCCTATAATACTTAGTAGGCCTTTCCTATATACCATAGGTGCAATTATTGACATGAAAGCAGGAAATATAAGGTTCCAAATTGCATTAAAGAAAGGGATAGAACACTTCCCAAGGAAGAGAATTAAACCACCATATGAATCTATTATGAGGGCCACCTATGGGATTACTTTGAAAGATGACAATACTCGAAACAATGCATTACACCTAGCTAGGGGCGTAAAATAATAGTGCTTGCTGGGAGGCAACCCAATAGTTATCTTAGAATTTTGCTTTTTTATTTCTGTTTTATGTGATGACATAATTCTTTCTACTATAATGATTGTGTTTTTATGTTTCAATTAGAGTTTGTGCCAAGTAAAGCCTTTTGGGATGATTTGGTTGATAGTTGACTTGATTTTGTGAAAAAACAAAAACTTTTGCGCCCAGTCATGACATACTATAATTCACTGGCACACCGTCGACAAGTCTAGGCTTGCCCCACTGTGTCATGATGTTGGGTGTTCGGCCCTTTGTATCTAGTTTTAGCTTGGTTTTCCCTAATAATCGTGCAACTCTTTTCTTCTTAATGAGTGCAGAATCATGCCATTTCAGAAAAATGCTCTCTGCTATTGTGTCGCGGCATTTATCCCTATGGTCCATATTCCGTTTAGTGAATAATATATATGCAGGGAGTTAATTTTTTTTTGAGAGAGAGAATGCTACATTTTATTAATTTGTATACATCAGTACATAGAGTTTGCCTGATACATTCTGGAGTACAATAGTACACAACTTTTGAACTAGCAAACTCACAAGACCTAACTAGTTTGTGAGCAACAACATTCAACGGCCAATTGACATGACAGAAGGAAACTGAAGAAAAACAAGCAACCAAACGCTTAATATCTGACACCACTACACCCACTTCAGACCTGTCTATCGATGAAGAGTTCATTCGTTGTACTAAGGAGAGGTGGTTTGAAGCGAAAATGACAGAGTCCAGTCCCTTATCACGGGAGAGAATCATGGCATGACGGAGCACCCAACTTTCAGCAAGTTCTGGTCGTACCACCCCTTTAAGTGGCTCGGTGCAAGCGACAAAGCATTCACCTTTGTGGTTTCGAATCAGGATGCCAATTCCTAGTTTGTGCAGGTTTGAGAAGATAGCCGCGTCGATGTTAACAAAGACTGATTCGGGCGGCGGCGAAGACTATCTAACGGATGAACTTGATGGTGTCTCACGATGGTGTCCCGCACCAGTCTTAAAAAGATGCAGCAAAACCAAATCAATATAAGCATGGACCTTTGAGGCAACATGGTGTGGATGGATATTACCTTCACCATTTCTTATTTGCATTCCTTGCTTCCCAAATATGCCATACAATGATTGCCAACACAGTGGACTGCTTCGGTGATGCTCTGTCAATGCAATCGAATAACCACTGTTTCGTTGAGCGGAAGTTCCTACGACATAGGTGGATGTCCAACTGTTTTTTGACCTTGTTCCAAACCTCGGAAGCAAACTGACAGAACAACAAACAATGCTCAATACTCTCATCTCTCCCACAATGCACACAAGCAGGACTTGTGGGGATATTCCGATGGCATAACTGAAGTCCGAATGGGAGGCAGTCATGTGCGAACCTCCATAGCACTATGCTCGTTTTGTTTGGGGCCTTAATTGCCCAGATTTCTTTCCAATATTTCTCCCCAACTTCCCTACTTGACGTGAGTCCACAACCAACCATATTGTGTGATGAAAAGAAATCTAAAGATCGAGCGAGATTGTATGATGAACGGACAATATATAGTCCAAAGCGAGTGTGAGGCCGAAACACAAAATCTTCTCATCCATGGCCGCTAATATGCGTTTATAATATGAGTTCAACAGTCTCCTCTTGAAAGAAAGCTCTAACATTTTCTTGGTTCCATTGACCATGTCCATCCACGAGGCAACATACTTTAGTATATTATGGAATTGGAAATAGAGTCCGCAACATGTACGGTGGGCGTCTAGGAATCCAATAATCTATCATGATTTTAACCTTATGGCCATTAGCAATTCGAGGGTCCCAAAAATTGTAGTGAAAAAAATAACGTCCTTTGAGAACCCGAACACAAAGAGAATCTGGCTCAGTAAGAAACCTCCAACATTGTCTACCAAGTATAGCCTGGTTGAAGAGTGAAAAATTACGGAAACCCAGTCCTACAAGCTTTTTTGGTGTGGGTAACCATTTCATAAACACCGGTGAAATTTCCTACTAATAATTGACAACAGCTTATCTCATCCCTTCACATGTAGAAATGGGTATACGCAGGGAGTTCTAATTTTTTCTATAAAAAGAGGATAAGACCGTTGGAGTTTCGGGCAAAAATATATGAATACCAATTTTGTTTCACGTCAAGATCTGTGCACCGGTTCACGTCGGGACAGGATGGCGCAGATCGGTTTTGGAGTCCGAGCTCCAAGTTTAACCCAGCCACCCAAACACATCGGCCGCTTCTGTCACTCAAGTCCTCCATCTCCTCTCCTCTTCCTCACCCCAAACCCTAGCGCCCCATAGCGCGCGTCGCTACCGCCGCTCCTCCATACTGCCGTCTAGGTGCGGAATTAGAGCTGCCCATGCCCAACGGCGAGCCCGCCCCCGGCGATGGCCAGACCGAGGCCGCCGTTACTGTCGATTCCGTGAAGGATTCGGCAAATCCCGAAAGCGCGGAGGCGGACGTGGAGGTGGAGGAACAGGGGGAGGACGACGCCATGGTGGATGCCGACGCCGACGCCGACGCCGTTGGTTCTACCAAGAATTCGGCGGTGCTTGAAGAAGAGGGTGCCGAGGAAGTGGGGGAGGAGCACAAGGGCGACGCCCTAGTGGATGCGGCTGCCACCACCGTTGCGTCCCTTGACGATTCGGGGAAGGTTGAAGCCCAAGGTGCGGAGGAAGAGGTAGAGGAGCGTTTAGGCGATACCCTGGTGGATGTTTCTGTGGCTCATCAGGTCAAGACTGAGGCCCAGGGAAATGAGGGGGCGGAGACGGAGGGTGAGGCCCAGGGAAATGAGGTGGTGGAGACCAAGGTCGAGGCCCAGGGAGAGGAGGGGGCTGAGTTGAAGGATGACACCCAGGGAAATGAAGCTGCCGAGATGGATGTTGATAAAGCAGGAAATGGAGATGAGCACACCGAGGCCAGGGTGGATGGTGACAAGGGCAGCTTGCTGAAAGAGGAAATCGACAATGGTGGAGATGATAAGAAGGATGCCAATGGTGAGGATGAGCTAGTGTCGTCACTAGCTGGGGAGGGTGAAAACCAAAACTTGTCTGACAAGGTCTCAAACAACTCCTTCATGTTTGATTACACCCGTGGAGGCGATGACTCTGGGACGGAGGAGGAGCAGGCTGAGTTTATCAAGGAGCTTGACCGGTTCTACACGATGAAATTAATGGAATTCAAGCCCCCAAAATTTTATGGTGAAGGATTGAATTGCCTCAAGTGAGTACCACGGGCTTATCTTTATGTTTGTATAATAGAAAGTTATTCTGATTGCTGGATGATTTGACATTACCTTTTTTTTTTGCAGGTTGTGGAGACAAGTAACTGGATTGGGTGGCTATGATCAGGTGCTCATTCATCCCTTTGTGACATTATGCCAGGGCATCTTGTGTTTAGTTTTCTTTTTAGATCTATCCTGGTGCTTTCTGCTTTACAATATATGGTCTACAAACATGAAGCTGATAAGATCACACTTGATGCTTCCACATGTGGTTTGCTTACTTAATGAACACATTATGTTTGGAAATGTTTGTCCGCTTATAGACATAGATCATTGAAGAGTAAAATGCATCCCTACAAATATTAGAGGGTCTCAAGTTAATCCTAAAACTTTCAAAACTGCAGATTCGGGCTCTAAAACTAGTTTACTGGGAGCCCTAAGCAGCCCAGATCAGCATTGACTTGTTCACATGTCATTTTTTTTTTGCAGAAAGGACCTTATATAGGGTAGCCTATTTGCCTTCTGACATCGAAATGCATCTTACGTGTTCCCCGCATAAGTCGGCTTAGAGGCATCAGCTTTTTGTTGTGCACCGTGTGTGCGGCACGCCGTCGATGTACCTCGCCCACTTCGGCGCGTCTAAAGCACGCAACACACTGAACCATCTATGCACCGCTACTGTGGTGCCCACGCAAGTTATCATAGCCACGGTGCCTGCAGATTTAGCTCTACTCTGGTAGCCTCAGTCATGCTCTCAACCTATGCATCGCAGATATCACGATCACCATTTATTTTTGTGCTCATCATGCCGGTACGTGGCCACCGAGATCAGCTTCTTCCGCCCTGCACAAATGGCGCTCATTCGCTAGACCCAGAGGTGCACGTCTGCTTCTCTGGACTGGGTTGAACACCATCTTAGGCACCACCATGTGCTCAGACCACGTTCTTGCTACTCGTGTCGCACCTGAAAACTGCACCGCCGGCCCCAGGATTTCGTGACAACCGACAGTGGCAGCTGCCTGGACCCGCTACACAGAATGTCAAGAACATTCCTCATCCAGCTCCGTCTGCTTGCCATGGAGCTGTCACTGCCAGCAATGGCCAAGGAGACACAAGTTGGTCACTAGGTGACAGATCGTGAACCGCTCTAGACAGGCGTTTCGCGAGGCGAACTTCTGCCTTCTTCTTCCGCCGGTGAGGCTGCGGGTCCTCGACCCCTCCGCCCGTCGCTCCGGCAGCGGGAGGGGCCGGGGCCGGGGCCTGGGACCCCGGTGATTCCGTTCCGGCGTGTAGTTTGATTAGGCCTAGTCTTCCTTGGAGGCGCCACATCACTGGCGGGATCGACGCCGCGTCGGAATAAGATGGTCCTGCTTTTCCCCCACCTCGGTGATGCTTCAATTGGTAGCGCTGGGAGGCAGTTGGCCCCCGTGTCTCGCCGGATTTCAGATCTGACGATGTTTGGTTGTGCTGGCCGGCGTTTGCCTAATATACTTAGTTTAACCTGTATCTGTTTTAATTCTGTTCTTTATCCTACTAGTTTTTTCTTTGCCAAATTACCCGAAGCTTATGCTATTTTCAATCCAATCGTGGATATTATGCCTGTTATACCTCTATTCTTTTTTCTATTAGCCTTTGCTTGGCAAGCTGCTGTAAGTTTTCGATGAAATCTTTAGTACTCTGTATGCCAAATTGAATGATGTGTTCATTCCAAAAAAAATTCAAAAATGGGTAAAAGCCGAGAAGTTTTATATTTTTATATTATGAACCTTCGATTCTAAAATTTAAATTCTTCTACATTGAATGGGTAGCTACAGCAATAAATTTGGATCAGCCTTTCTACTCCCCTGCACCTAGGTTGAGCAGGTACCTACACAATACCTAACCACCTAACCCTACTTTTGCTATTGATAAGAGTGCTTCTTATAAATGAATTCTTGCAATTTTTTTCAAGAATTCTTTTTTGCATTTTTAGGTATAAAAAAAAACATCCTAGTGGATCCGTGTGGTAAGGAAAAACTGGTAATCTATTCCTTAAAAAAAATCTTGGAGATTATGTAATGCTTACTCTCAAACTTTTTGTTTATACAGTAGTGATATTCTTTGTTTCACTCTTTATCTTTGGATTCTTATCTAATGACTCAGGACGGAATCCTGGATGCGAGGAGTAAAAATTCAGTTTTTTTTTCTTATTGGATTTGTTTCATACATTTATCTATGAGAAAATCCGGGGGTCAGAATTCTTTCCAATTTGAAAGTCCCAAATGATCCAAGGGAGCGGAAAGAGAGGGATTCGAACCCTCGGTACAAAAAAATTGTACAACGGATTAGCAATCCGCCGCTTTAGTCCACTCAGCCATCTCTCCACGTTCCAAAGCGAAAGGTTTCCGTGATATGATATAGGCAAGAAATAAGAAATAACGGTTGCAAAAAACCCCCTTTTTTCTTTCAAAAGTCTATAAAAATTATATTGCCAATTCCATTTTAATTATATTCTTTTTTCTTAATGTTAATAAAAAAAGAAGAAAATTCTTGTTTTTTCTTTCTAAAAATCGATATTGGCCGAGAGACAATCAAATAGATTTTCTCTTTAGCGGGCATTTCCATATAGGACTTGTTATAATTATAATAAAACAAGCAGGTTATATAAAAAACGCTTCCCGACGAGGACGTTGTTTAGTACAAGGTCTGTTGCTGTTCTGGAGCATGTGATGTGGATGGTGGTTTGCGGTGGCGTCTTTCTTCTCCGATCTCAGTGGATGAAGGAGACGGTGCTGGGATCTGACGGGCTTGGGGATGATCCCCGGTCGACGAGCCACATAGTCTCGGTTCTGTCGCGTGCGGCAGACCGTTCAATCGACTCGCCTAGCAGCATGGTCTGCATTGGAGTTCTTTCAGATTTGGGAGAGATGGTTGCTATCGTCCATCTCCGGCGTTGCCATGGCGACGATGGAGTCCGACGATGCTTAAGAGATTGGATTTGCACAGGGATCTTTCTGGATCAAATTGTAAATCTTCTTATTTTCTTGGGGTCCTTGGTGCAAAGCTCCAGGACAATTGTTTGTGTGTTTGTCTTATGGATCGACCATCTGTGTCCATCCTGTAAGTTATTTGTTGAATGAACATGTGGTAGTTCCTCTCAAAAAAAAAGAGGGTGACAGATCGTGAGGTGCTGTCACTCCGGCAGCTCATTGCCCCTGGTTTGCACTAACAAATTACAGACATATATTTATAAGGGCTATTTTGCAAAAACTAGGCAATGGTCAACAACCACGTGAGCAGTTCAATTCCGATCTGGGCTACTTATGACTCACGATGAACAACTTAAATAGAGACTTGGATCTGCGGTTTTCAAGTCTTAGGACTAACTTGACACCCCTCAAATAGTTATAGGACCTCTGATACGTTTTACTTAATTTAACACCCTCTGTGTTTTTGTTACCTTTGTTATGCTATCATACTCATGTAATCCACTTGTCTATTCATCTGCCCAATTTGTTTGCACCCTATGCCTTTATATCAGATCCTGTTAACTGGATGCACCATACACAAAGTATGAAGCACTAATTTTTATTTAATACCTTTCTTCCATATGCTGTTTATAATCCTCGTTCAACTATTTAATTGATTATCCACTAATCTTTTCTCTATTGACAATGACTCAAGTTCTATCACCAATATAAAAAGTAAGGACAGATTCCATTCAGTTTGTTGGTAATAGAAATATGACCCAAAACCTCATGCTTACTGTCCTACCTGGCTGATGCAGCCAACGAGGCATTCCTCCCATAATCTTGCCTGGCATTATTATCATATTTTTTGTTTTCAGTAAGTGGGTTGCAAATTATATGATTTAACAAAAGCAATGACAATAATCACATCAGAAGGCAAAAGGTTAACCTTATTGAGCAAATCAGCATAACTAATAAGGATTTATTGCAAACCAAGATTTCTATTTTTTTGTAAAAACAAAACACGAGCCTGAATGATAGTTTGACCATGTGCAGAGGAAGCAATGGCACTAATCATAGTTTTTAATGATGATGAAATTCACCACGAGCATATATGCATACACAATTAGCAAACACATGGTTGCTTAAGAGGAAAGTCAAGCTTTGCCCTTGATTTAATATCTCTTTTTCTCTCCAGAATGGGGGTAAGGTACATCTAGACTGTCTGATATTTCTTTGTTTGACCACAGAAGTATGCATGTGTTTACTTGTCATTTTGTAACTTTTGCGCGTAACTTTGTATAACCTTTATCAATGTGAGGTTGAATTCTTTCTCATGAGTTGCATTAACAGGTGACATCATGCAAACTATGGCGTCAAGTGGGAGAATCATTCAAACCTCCGAAGTATGAATTCAACCTAGATGTATCTCTATTGTAATTGTGCAATGATGGAGTTGGAACGTAATTGACATGTGGTTCTTTCTGTACTCTCTCCTATCACGTAACCTACATGTTTTATGCAGGACATGCACAACTGTTTCATGGACCTTCCGCAACTTCTATGAGAAGGTACCTCTCTATATTCCCATGGATGATCATCTCATTGCTTATAACTCCTCACTTGCTATGCTCTTGTGGTTGAATCCTGTGGTGTGCTATGAATGCCATGATAGTTGCTTGAGCAAGACCTTTTGCACTTACATAGATTAACTCGTTGAAAGTTTTACTAAGTTCCTAGCATAGAACTATGCCATAAGTCCCATCTCCAGAATTGGTAATCTTGTTCAATCTTAATGCTACATGTTATGGGGATTATGTTTTCCCTTCAGTGTCTGAATGCAAATGCAGTCTGTGTTCTCAGCAGGGAAGAAATCGAGAGTGCAATATATTTGTAAACCTCTCTTCTTGTTTTATGAAGAATGGTTGAATAATATAAGTCAGTGTTGTTACCCCCCTCCTCTCCCTGTTTCCTGCGGACCTCTTTATTGTTTTTTTTTCTTTCTCACAGGCACTCCTTGAATACGAGAAACACAAGATTGAAACTGGCGAGTTCCATGTGGCTGCATCTACTTTAACCGAGCGAATTGCTTCTGATAGTCAGGTACAATGTTATAATCTATTATGCTATCTTATTAGATGAGCAACTTTTGGGCTTGAGAAAAGAGGTTGTAATTTTTAGATGAGCAACTTTTGGGCTTGAGAAAAGAGGTTGTAATTTTTCTACAGGTGGGTGGAAGCCTTGCATCAGGATCTGGAAGAGCTAGAAGAGAATCTGCAACTCGCGCCATGCAAGGCTGGCATTCGCAGCGCTTGCTTGGCAATGGTGAAATTGCTGATCCAGTAATTAAGGTATTTGTTGCTTGAAGTCAAAGGTCAATAGTAATCGTGTTTTGTTGTATAACTAACATCCTAATTTCTTTCAGGATAAAGCAGCTATGCCTGTCTTGAAGAAGGACAAAAATCCAAAAAGCAGTGGTAACTTTTCTGGATATCATTTGTTAGACGCCCGTTTACAAGAATATATATTGACTATTGCATTCATATAGGTCTGGCCAAGAGGAAAAGGACACCAACCTTGGAAGATGAAAAGGCAACACCATACAAATCTGAGAAGCTACAGTAACTCTCCTTCTTCCCAACTCTTTATTACCATCAAATAAATCTTGCAAAACCTTTTATTTCATTGCTGTTGAGAATCATTAAGAACTCTGCAACGTTGCCACCAGCCCATAGAGTTCATTCTATTCTTTTGCATGTCATAGTTGAATTATGACCCACAAGGTCTATCCAGTCTACCAAGTAGGCTTGACATGCGAGTGACTAGGTCCCTCCTATCCCCTTGGTCATGGTTTTTCATGGGTTTGATTGGGTGAAAATAATTGCTATTTGGCAGAAATGACTCGACAGTTATTGACATGGGCCCTCCTGCTGATTGGGTGAAGATAAATGTTCGGAGAACTGTGAGTATCTCATTTTATAAGTACAAAATTATTCTTTATGTTCTTTTAGTACATTTGTACTCTTTCCCCATGGATCTCTACTCCAATAGTTCTCAGTACATTTCTGAAACTTTTAAAGCTGTGCCAGCAAACTGCTTATTCTATTTAAAATATGTAAATCTTGGTTAGATCATGTGACTGTTGACCTATTATGTGTTTAAAACCAAGCATGGCTAACCAAAAAATCAGTAGGATCATTTTTATATAAAAGAAAATTTATGTTTCCTTGCAGAAAGATTGCTATGAAGTCTATGCATTGGTTCCTGGCCTTCTTCGTGAAGAGGTAAATAAAATAAAGCTTTCAGTGCCGCAAAAGTTGGAATGGTGAGATTGCTTACAGATTTATCTTGATACATCTTTTGTTGTAGGTACATGTTCAGTCAGATCCTGCTGGCCGCTTGATAGTTACGGGAGAGCCTGAGCAACTAGATAATCCTTGGGGTGTTACTCCATTCAAGAAGGTTTGTCAAAAATCTACATTGTATTCTGAAGATTTTTAGTTTTGCACCAGATTTGTTGATACTCAAAATGGTACAATCTGCAGGTCATTAGTTTGCCCTCCCGCATCGATCCTCACCAAACCTCAGCAGTTGTCACTCTCCATGGGCAATTATTTGTTCGTGCACCGTTTGAGCAGTCAAAATCATGACACTCTACTTGACTAAGCAGAATAATACATGTATGCTTTCGTTTCCAAGAGACACACAGCAATCGCTGCACTATTTTATTCCAGAAAGTTATCGTCTCTAAGAAAGAACGGAAAATGAATTTTGAAGATGCATTATTGAGGAATGTTAGTTAACTTGTAGACACACGTGTGGATGGTCTCTTATGCGTCAGTAGCACTAGATTGTTTCACGAGCTATAAATGGCAGGACTGAAATAATACTCCCTCCATCCCATAATATAAGACGTTTTTGCAAGCTATCTTATATTGTGGGACGGAGGGAGGAGTAATAATAATAATAATAATAATAATAATAATAATAATAATAATAATAATAATAATAATAATAATAATAATAATAATAATAATAATAATTTCTGGTCTGGTCACAGTGGACCTGTGTTCATCATTTTCATTTGCATATTGAACACAGAACACTTATCTTCGAACTGCCACACACCTTGACTTACCTTCTTCGTGCAGGTTGCCTTGCTGGTGGGATCGTAGGATGGTTGCAGGTTGCCCACCCTGATCTTTGTTCGTCTAGTTCGTTGCTGCTTCAAGGCTCTTCAGCGGTGCTGTATGTTCTGTGTATTGATTAATTCTAACTAATTAGATGGCTTAGTACTGTGCATTGCCTGTGACATTTAGCGTAAGTTCCACCCTCCAAGCTTGTAGCCTAGGTTCCTGATGCTCAAATGTTCATGGTTTATTCGTTCCCTTTTCCATTTAGCCATCAAAGGATAATGATTTGTAGCGTTGTAGCTTTATTATTCCTAATACTTGAATCTGTCATCATACTTGCGGACATAGATGCGGATGAAATTCGGGGTATGTCATGTAACTGTTGCTGTTATACAAAACCATTGCATTTGCTTGACTGAAAATAATGGTTCTTTAGGTCTTGTACAATTCAAGGTGCTTAGAGAGGGTACACACTTAATTAGACGTCTCTACTGTAGAAATACACATTGGTCCTTCAGAAAAACCCAGTTTATTTTTCTAAACACCATCTAAGCACCTAGCATTGTATGAGGCCTGGGCGCTGCTTGGACTCGCCGTGGGCTGGGCTGGGGACACGGTGCTGCTGGCTGACGTGTGGAGCTTCGACCGGTGGCTGACTGCTACAGGCCGAGGACACTGCTGCAGGCTAACGTGTGGTGCTTCGACCGGTGGCAGCGATGCTGTGACGGGAATCAGGATGCAAGTGGCGTTAGCGACGGGATGCATGGTACAGGCGAGCCGGCGACGGCGATGCTGCAAGCTCATAACCTTGAAGTTGTTGCAGCGTATGCGTTACGTATCCATATTATTTAAATTTGCCCGACAGTATTAAAAGCGGAAAAAAGATTAAGAAAAATGATGCATTGGCATGGGTCACTCTGGTAGTTATATAAAAAATGGTCATTTTGGTATAAATACAACAAAATGGCGCCCCTCACAAAAAGCAGGCCGTTGTAAAAGAATACGACAATTAATATGGATCGAAGCAAGTGGCGACTGCAATCATCACACAACAATAACTGGCATCCTGCTCAGCTGGCCGCAGGCATGAATTATGGGCGACTGCAATCATCACACAACAATAACTGGCATCCTGCTCAGCTGGCCGCAGGCATGAATTATGGGGAACCGGATCCTCTAACATAAAGAAGGGATGTCATGGTACTACAGCGCTAGTCTGTTAATAGGTTGTTTAATGTTGATATTTACCGTAGATATAAATAATTTTAAATTAATTTTATTTCGTCATTAATTTGTTTGTATGTAATTACTATATAAATGTACTCCCTCTGTTTTTAAATATAAGTCTTTTAACGATTTCAAATGGACTATCATATACAGATGTATATAGACATATTTTAGAGTGTAGATTCATTTATTTTGCTTCGTATGTATTCATTTGTTGAAATTTTTAGAAAGACCTATATTTAGGAACGGAGGAAGTATAAAGTAGATCATCAATTTGTAAATTAATTTAAATCGCTTTAGCCATAATCATATGGATCGAAAGAAGGGATGTTAGGATAATGTAGCTTCTCTAATTTTCCTTCTCAATGTTAGAGGATCCACTTATGAATTATGGTGGCATCATCACATCACTGCCTCAACGCTTCACCTAGATAAAAGTAACTGAAGCCACCATTTAATTCCACCTTCATCCAACGGAAGCAGTAGTACACTTCCCAAGTTTAACAACTTCTATAGGGAAGACTGTGTAGAATATATGAATTGCACGATATATTGCTCTTCGTGCATAGGCACTATATATATGATGTACAAACGTGGGCCAAGAACCTCAACTATACAAGGAATTAGGAGGCGGCCCAATACACAATATGCACATAACACATATACTCAACACCTCGCAGTCGACGCGGCACTGCGGCTGACGCAAAGACTGGATCGGAACTCCTCAAATGACGCCGTAGGCAAGCCCTTGGTCATGATATCGGCAAATTATTGAGAAGTAGGGACGTGTAAAACACGAATATGGCCAAGGGCCACCTGTTTCCGGACAAAATGAATATCCAACTCAATATGCTTGGTCCGTCGATGATGCACCAGGTTAGCGGAGAGGTAGACCGCCAAGACGTTGTCGCAGTAGACCACCGTGGCACGGTCAACAGGGCAAGAGAGCTCCTGAAGCAGCTGTCGAAGCCACGAACACTCGGTGACGGCGTTGGCCACCGCACGATACTCAGCCTCAGCACTGGAGCAAGAGATTGTAGGCTGCCGCTTGGATGACCACGAGATAAGTGAGGGTCCAAGTGTGACGCCCCCGATTTGACCGTACACTAATCATACACGCAAACGTGTACGATCAAGATCAGGGACTCACGTGAAGATATCATAACACAACTCTACAAATAAAATAAGTCATACAAGCATCATATTACAAGCCAGGGGCCTCGAGGGCTCGAATACAAGAGCTCGATCATAGACGAGTCAGCGGAATCAACAATATCTGAGTACAGACATAAGTTAAACAAGTTTGCCTTAAGAAGGCTAGCACAAACTGGGATACAGATCGAAAGAGGCGCAGGCCTCTTGCCTGGGATCCTCCTAAACTACTCCTGGTCGTCGTCAGCGGGCAGCACGTAGTAGTAGGCACCTTCGGTGTAGTAGGAGTCGTCGTCGAAGGTGGCGTCTAGCTCCTGGGCTCCAACATCTGGTTGCGACAACCAGGTAGAAGGGATAGGGGGAAAAGAGGGAGAAAGCAACCGTGAGTACTCATCCAAAGTACTCGCAAGCAAGGAGCTACACTACATATGTATGCATTGGTATCAACTGGAATAAGGCTATCATATGTGGACTGAACTGCAGAATGTCGGAATAAGAGGGGGATAGCTAGTCCTTCCGAAGACTACGCTTCTGGCAGCCTCCGTCTTGCAGCATGTAGAAGAGAGTAAACTGAAGTCCTCCAGGTATCATCACATAGCATAATCCTAACCGATGATCCTCCCCTCGTCGCCCTGTGAGAGAGCAATCACCGGTTGTATCTGGCACTTGGAAGGGTGTGTTTTATTAAGTATCCGGTTCTAGTTGTCATAAGGTCAAGGTACAACTCCAAGTCGTCCTGTTACCGAAGATCACGGCTATACGAATAGATTAACTTCCCTGCAGGGGTGCACCACATAACCCAACACGCTCGATCCCATTTGGCCGGACACACTTTCCTGGGTCATGCCCGGCCTCGGAAGATCAACACGTCGCAGCCCTACCTAGGCACAACAGAGAGGTCAGCACGCCGGTCTAAATCCTATGGCGCAGGGGTCTGGGCCCATCGCCCATGCACACCTGCACGTTGCGTACGCGGCCGGAAGCAGAACTAGCCCCCTTAATACAAGAGCAGGCTTACGGTCCAATCCGGCGCGCGCCACTCAGTCGCTGAAGTCACGAAGGCTTCGGCTGATACCACAACGTCGAGTGCCCATAACTGTCCCCGCGTAGATGGTTAGTGCATATAGGCCAATAGCCAGACTCAGATCAAATACCAAGATTTCGTTAAACGTGTTAAGTATCCGCGAACACCGACCAGGGCCAGGCCCACCTCTCTCCTAGGTGGTCTCAACCTGCCTTGTCGCTCCGCCACAAAGTAACAGTCGGGGGCCGTCGGGAATCCAGGCCCACCTCTACCGGGATGGAGCCACCTGCCCCTTCAGCCCCCATCTTCGAACAGTATCACAGGTAATGTAACTGTGTAAAGTATATTGTATATGCCCGTGATCACCTCCCGAAGTGATCACGGCCCAGTAGTATAGCATGGCAGACGGACAAGAGTGTAGGGCCACTGATGGAACACTAGAATCCTATACTAAGCAGTAGGATAGCAGGTAATGGTAACAACAGTAGTAGTAAGGACAGGCTATGCATCAGGATAGGAATAACGGAAAGGAGTAACATGCTACACTACTCTAATGCAAGCAGTATAGAGAAGAGTACGCGATATCTGGTGATCAAAGGGGGGGCTTGCCTAGTTGTTCTGGCAAGGAGGATGTGTCGTCAACACTGTAGTCGAAGTGGGGTTCGCCGATAGTCTCGGGGTCTACCGGAAAGAAGTAACGGAGGGGGAACATAATAAATAACAGAGCAATCAAAGTATAACATGGCAATGCGCGATGCTAGAGGTGACCTAACGCGGTAGTAAGTGATACTGGTGAAGGGGGGCAAACATCTGGGAAAGTATTCCCGGTGTTTCGCGTTTTTTTGATAGACAGGCTGGAGGGGAAAAGTTGCAGGTTTGATATGCTAGGGACGTGTGGCTGACAAATGGACTGCGTATCCGGATTCGTCTCGTCGTTCTGAGCAACTTTCATGTACAAAGTTTTTCCATCCGAGCTATGGTTTATTTTATATTAATTTAAAAAGAATTTAATCATTTTCAGGAATTAACAGATTTAATTTAAACCAAAAATAGGTTTGCTACACCAGCATAACGTCAGCATGACGTCAGCGGTCAACTGTGACCGTTGACCGGTCAAACTGACAGGTGGG